AGGAGGAAGGCACAGGGCAGACAGAGTGCGAAGTGCCACAAACCTGTGTAGGCTACTTAGAGCATTACAGCCTCGTGGGAAATACAAGAACTGAGCCACTGGGAACCAGCAGTTAGCATAATGGCTATGTCACTGGACTCCCACATAGTCAACCGCAGTTCGCGTCCCGGACCCGGTGGCTTAAAACTCACACCGGGTGCATGCACATGCATGCCCAAGATCCCAAGAGGAGAATGGAGGAGAAGGGATTGTGGCGTGACCATCTCCCCTGGGGGGTGATTTCTCGCTTTCTGTCTCTATGTCTCTGTCTGTCTGGCGAGCGCAGGCGCCCTATAGCGAAAACCTCTCAAAAAAAAATAAATAAATAAGAACTGAGCCACCATTCGTGGGAAATAAAATTTCAGGGCCGTATTTTAAACATAATGTCCACAAACTTCTTTTATTGCATACAACCAAAAGCATGTACATCTGTTACATCATTTGAATATGAACAATTATGAAATGGATGACACCTGAGGCTGGTAATTGATGCCTTACTTGAAAACCAACTTCCAAACAAGCTAAGAAACAAACAAAATCTCCTCAGGACAGCCAGTGGCATGGTGGTGAAGATGGCTATATACAACACAGCTGACTATGCAGTTCAAATCCAGGACTTGGTCTCAAAGACACACAGGCTAAGTGTGTGTGTGTACCCAAAACCCCCAAAGGAGGGAAAAATGGAGGAAAAAGGATTGTGGCATAGACTATTCCCCACGGGGATGCTTTCTACCCCCACGCCCCATCTCTCCTCACAAGCAGACATACCTTCTGGCAAATTTTTAAAAAATAATAACTCCTTCCTGAAGTGTCCCCCAATTCCCTCCAAAGAGTAAGGCCCTCTTCATCCAAAAATCATCTACTTTTTTCTGTGCCTTTCTTCTGATACTTACAGGTTTGCCTTTTCCTTATTCCTTTACTAGACTATGAATTATTTTATAGTCTATAAAGAAAATATATCCAGCTTCAAGGCCTCAAAAGGTTTCTGTTCTAGGGCAGTTAAATTTTTGTTCTCATTGAAAAAAACAAAAAAACAGGGCCAGTCCCATAGCACAGCAGTTAAACTCTGTGCATAGGGAGCCAGATCTCACATGGCCAACTGCAGTTTGAGTCGTGGCTCCTGTGGCTTGGGAAACACTGGGCCTCTGTACATCTGTGCCTCAAATCTTAACAGGATGGAGAAATGGAGAAAAAGCGATTGAGACACAACCATATTCCATTGAGGGGTTCTTGCGTGCGCTTTCTCTCCCTCTCCCTCTCCCTCTCCCTCTCCCTCTCCCTCTCCCTCTC